TCTTAAATTCCGGCACTCTAAGGAGACGTGAGTAGTCAGGTCGTTTACCGAAATGAGTTATCGGTCTACACGGCCCTGAAGTATATCTCCTGTTCTGTCAAGAAAACACGTGTATAGCTCGAGCAACAGGTCGAACGAGTTACAGTACATGGTGACAATCCTGTAGTGATTTCAGCTACTACTCGATGCGATGAAAAGTAGTGTGTACGGACCCCTCACAGTGATGAGGAGGCTCAATGCCCTGTAGGATAACTTTCAAAGTTTCAGCCAATCAGATGCCTACCAAACTCAGGATTAATATGAATGCAAACAGTATTAAAAACGTTTAAGGTTCTTGTCCAGTTATTTCCCGCAGGACAAATTACCACCTCTGAAGTAACTATTTATCATGTTCCTCAGCAAAAAACAACTGGCGAGCTGGGGTTTTTTTTTGAAAATTTCGAATATCTATTAACAAATCAATGATAATCGATATGATGTTCAGAAATACACAACTATTGAACGCGCATGGAAACAAAACAGAGCAACTTACGTTGCCTTGATTTTTCAAGATTTTTCATCTCCTCAACTAAAATTTAACAGGGAAAAAAGGTATTATGAGTGATATTCAAATTTCTATGGAACTCCGGTCATAAATTCCGTGATTTCATATGAAACGACGGTGACTTACTTTCAGCGATCTCCGATGCACTCAGACTACCACTGCCTAAATTTCGGTAGGAAAAGCAAGGAAGATATTAGTTTTTGGAAATAATTCAAAGGAAAACTTTCTGAAAGTGGAACTATGTTCAGGAACTAGTTGGTTTACACAGTCGCCACTGTGACTTTTCAGTTCACTTGGAATCTCCTTATATGTAAATATTACCGTAAAACTGATACAATTTTACGGTTTTTTCAGCCGTAGTGATTGACTATGTTTATTTTTTGTCATTAAGTCACGGAGGCAAATAGGCAACAGCCAAAAAATCCATGCTTTGATGATTTATTCCTTAAAATTTGGAATAAAAGCCGTGACCAGCATATGTTACCCGCCATTCGGCATTCAAGTGGTAAATTACTACAACTTTGTATATTCAAGGCGTTTAGACTGGAAGCATTGATTATTTCATTGGCTACCAGTGAAACTCATGCATGCTCTGAGCGCAGGACTTTTCCCTCCTGAACCAATAAGGGAGTGAGTAGTGTCCGAGGCTCACATATTCCTGCCTCAAGACAAGTGGCAATACGTTGCCCTCGCAGCCAGCGGTTGTGTGCAGTGGCCACGTGATCAGCCCGTTTGCCTCAAATCTGCTCATTTCGGCCTGTGTTAAACGTTATTTACTCTGGCCGACTGTGCTCTCCGTACGCATCATGTACGTAAAATCCAACGGTTCTAGGGGCATATGTAGCTTGTGTCTAAGCTGAAATTTGAGGTGTTCAAGAGTCTATGGTCAGTCTTTATTTCGTCAGGTATTTAATACCTATGAATACCCCACTTTTTCTTTCAAGTGAGGTAAACAACGCTCCTCCCATATTCACTGTGTGGTCGGGACTTGTCACCAGCAACTAATATCGTCACTGACTGGCCCCAGCCACAACCCGCACCAATGTAACATCGATGAAAGCATTGATGAAGACTGGCAGCACATTGCTAGACAACAGGCAAACATGTTCCTCCTGCCTTTCGCGATTAATTTATCCCGAAGGAAGTCCATCCACGGGATCGAAAGTTTGAGCTACGAGATTTATAGCCCTCTCAATGCTTTTTCATCACTAATCAATATCACAACTATCTCCTACCTCCCCGTGATTCATGTTTCTGTCTCGATTACAGAGATCAAATGTTGATTCTTTGTTAGTACGCCCATCCTTACCCTATTACAATCCCTTGTCTTATTAGTCCGGATTCGTTCAGACATCCCAATGTTTCTCCAAGACAAACAAGCATTCTCAATCCGGGATTTCTACCAACAGACGTATCACTTTACAGCAAAGCTTACATACGGGACGTCATCAATCTAAGTGACTCAATTTTCATTGAAGACTGACCAAAACAATTTGAACCAGTCCAGATAGTTTCTTCATTCAGCGCAATTTCCCTTCAGTTGATCTCACACATGTGGCACTCACTAGCTACATAGAGTTTCGGAGACATTCATTTTTCTCACTGATTTGTAAGAACCAGACAGACTGTGGGAAAAGAACGGTATGTGGACCCGTTCTGGAGGCAGACCAAACACAAGATAATTTATCAGACTTACTTGAAGAGGACCGTAAGCTACCTAGAACAGAATATCAAGAGTGAAACAGGTTGAATCGGATCAGTTTGGGGCCGGATGAACTGTCTCAACTTTAGAGATTGAAATAGTAAAGGTACCAGCTAACTGATATATATATATATATATATATATATATATATATATATATATATATATTAGAGTGTTTTTGAAACGATGGAGAGA